ATATATTTACTGAGAAAAATGGTCACGTGTTCAATACTTATTTTACCCGCTGTATATCACCTGTGTTTAATACATGAGTAACTTGTCCATAAACTGTCTCTTACATACATAAATTATACAAGTCTATGACAGCAGAACTTATATTGTACTGATAAAAGTGTTGCCATTTATTTAATRTTGATACTGTCATATAAGCCTGAATGAGTTAGGTATGAATGTACATGACACTTTAACAAAAATGTCATTTATTTTCATAACATGTTGGAACATATTGCTGGGATCCTGTGCCATAATCTTTGGTGTGTGCCAGTGTGTGAGACAAAATTTTCACACATCAGTTAAGTTGTCTAAGACATTACAGTGATGGGCTTAAACCAACTGGACATTGTGGTGGTTAGTGGTACCRGTAGTCGTTGGAGCACTCGCTGCTGTGATCTCTAAATTGAAAGAGTGCTTCCAGCAGATCCCAGAAACAACCTCACTGTCCAGAAGAGTGCAGTCATAGAAGATAAGATGCACTGCTGAACTGTCAAACTACCAGGCCTCTGGAAAAGGATGTGAACTTTGGTGCTGTAGATATTAAAAACAAAATATACAGGTTTGATGTGACTGTGATGAGCTTTTATTTCAGTATGGCCTTTCAGGCTTCCTCTTTCAGTGAAGCAAATATCACCTCAGTGGTCGTTTTACATGCTTTAATTTTTTTGCATACAATATATTGTGAATTCTGTCTTAAAACCTAAGCATAAGATATATTTGTCTCTTCAGTCTTTTTGATGCCATCTACTCCCTGTTAAAGAATAAAATCCATCGGCTGCCGGTGATTGACCCAGTGTCAGGAAATGTCCTCCACATACTAACTCACAAGCGCATTCTGAAGTTCCTCCACATTTTTGTGAGCACTTTTTTGAATTCTGTAATCCTAGAATAAGATATGGAAATCTGAAAATGTCCATGTTCTAATAAAGCATCATGTCTTCTCTTCCAGGGATCCATGATTCCCAAACCAAGGTTTCTGCAAAAGAAAATATGCGAGGTGCCAATTGGCACCTTTAAACAGATTGCAACAATACAGGAATCTGCTTCTGTCTACGAAGCTTTGACAATGTTTGTGGAGAGACGAGTGTCAGCACTGCCTGTGGTCAATGAGCAAGGTATAAAACAATCATAAGATGTTTAATTATCAACTGTTCTGATGGAAGGCAGATGATCATGTAATTGCCCTTGTGTGTGTGGTGGGGGGGAGGCATTTTTCAGAAAAACAGCCTTGTGGTTCCCAGTGCTCCTCATGGGAACCAAAGACGGGGGGTGTGGGGGGGGTGTTAGGTTTAGGACTAAGGTGTGAATTGAGTTTAAGTTAGATGTAGGGTCAGGTATGTAGTGGGAGTGGTTAGGTTCAGGGTAAAGGGTCAGGCTAGAGGAATATTCACTCAGAGAATTTGCCTAATTGCCTAATAAGCCTAATTTTGTTTAACCAATTATTACACACTTTCTGTAAATCATATAAACTTCATTTCACTTCTCAGTGTTTCCCAAAGTTGGGGTCGGGACCCAAAACATCAAGGAGGGGTCCTGAAAAGATTTTCTGAATTAATTACATTTTTTCCTTAGTTGTTACAAATGAGTGAGGTTAGTGTATTTAAAATGGATAAATGTAGCATAAAAATATTGTTACTATGCCCATGTTTAGTTGACCTGATACAAATGTTT